AAATTAGATTATTTCATTGAAAGCACCGTTCATTTTGGGTATAAATAGTCAGTATTATCCCTAACTTTTATTGGAATTTTAATGAGGTCCAAAGCCTTATTTCCTTGGCAATTGCGTCTCAAATTTCTTAAACTCATTCGGTTTAGTCCTTTTACCGACTTTTTCCGTTAAAGTCATTAGCCAAAAAGGGTATGCAAAGTAGTATTCTTTTTATTCATTTTTAATGGATATAGTTTGATTTTTTTATTTTTAGATATCAACTTTAAATAAAAATTTAATATATTATGTAAATAATAATTGAAAATTTTTTAATCCAATAAAAATACTCAACAAAAATTTTATATAATTTTTTTTAATTATTATTAATTTAATTTATTAAATTTTCATTTGAAATTTATGTCTAAAATATCAAATAAATCTAAAAAATAAATTAAAGGAGTGAAAATATGATTTTTTTTTCATCCCAACATAACTTTTCTTGAACTCACACCTTTAATGATGATGAAATTGTTGTGTTATAGGAGCATAATCATAGTCACATATTATTAAGTTGTTTTTTTTGTTAAGTATTTATAAATAAAGTGTTTTTAGATCAATTTTTATAAATTTTAAAACTATCTTAAAAGCACACCCTCATATTGAACCCCTAACTCTAAACATTGACACGAGAAAACAAACGGAATGCTTTTAAGGAAAATGCTTTAAAGAGTTTGGACCCAATTGACTCTAAAAAATAGTTTAAAACCAGATTAAAACTAAATATAAGATTAGGGATGAAATTTTTGACTTTTTGCCCATTTCTTGCCTCTTCGCATATAAGTCCATCACCAACCTCCCTCCAATCCCAAGGAAATGTCTCTTCTCCTTATTTCCTCTCTTTTCTTGGTCTTTTCCATGTCATCCTGCTCCTTGAATACTGCAAAACGGTCGTCCTTGTAGTGTCTCTTATACCCATTAAGCCTTTTTCTGTTTGGCAAGAAAGAAAGCAAGGGAAAATCAAAGAAAACGGAGAGAAAAAATGGAGAATTCTGTCGGATTTGGTTTCGTGGCCGTCTTCGCGGTTTCCGGTAGTGTCGTCTTCATCGCTCGCCAAGTCCACAAGCGTCTCCTTTCCGATTTCATGAAAAAGATCGAACATGAACTCGGTGGTAATCAATCATTTTGAACCGTCTATTTTTTTTTTTCTTGATCTGGGTCTTGGAAATTTTGAATTTTTTTTCCAGGGTCGCCGCGGAAATGCTGTGAGGTGAAGAAAAGGGTCCGATTCGCGGAGGAGGTGATGGAGGTACCGGCGTCGGAGAACAGAGAATGCCGGAGGAGGAAGGACGGGGCGTTGAAAATGGAAGATCACAACATGCCTCTGAACAGGCAGGTCCTGTATAAAGGGATTCTAAAATACAAAACCCTCAAGGCGCAGGATTTTGGCAACTTCCTGTAATCAATTTCTGCAAAATTTTCAGGTTTTGAGTCTGTGTGTTCTTAGAAGTCGTCTTCTTCTTCAGCAACTAGATTTTGGGATTGCTTTGGGATGATGGTTTTGGTTCTTTAGTTTTTGAAAGTAATATGAATTAATGGGAATTGAAGGAGTCGCTGGAATTTGATTGGAATTTTAGGTGTTTGGTTGACTGGAAAATGGGAGGAATTTTCCCTCCATTTGGTCCATGGAAAAAGTGTAAAAAGTATATATTTTTTTAATATATTGGAAAATTGTAAAAACAAGGAATTGATAAGTTGTTTATGGGGGTTTATTCACATGCAATATTGTTATGAAATTAAAAAAAATTAATTTTTTTAAATATATGTTGTGCCTTTGAAGATTATTTCAAAAAATATCAATTTTGAAATATATAAAAATTAACTCAAAAGTATGTTAATTATAAACATCAACAATATTGATATGAAATCTAAAAGCAGAACATGCTATAAAATAAATGAATTTGCAATATACTAAAAAACTAATCACAATTATCATTATATTTAAAAAATTAAAAAGTCAAAACATAACTATTAAAATTAAATAATGATAGTAATTACAATTGACCACTTTTAATCTAACTAAAACCTTTGATTTTTCATTGGTAAGGAGAGCAAATTTCCATGAGCTGATCTCAGAGATTCTTTTCATCAAAATGATAGGGATGCCCATGAAACGGATCCTGCTGCCTTCATGCCATGAAATATTACACTCCATATGAGCAAACAAATTATTATTGAAAAATAAAAAGAATTTATTTACATATAAGTTTTATATATTATATTTATATAAAATCTCAATAATTTATTTTTTTATTTTAATGTTAGAGATTTTTCACAATTTTTTAAGTAAAAAAATATAATTATTTTAAATAAATATAAATAAATCTCAACAATTAAAAGTAAAAAATTAAATAATATTTATTTACATATAAGATTTATACGTTATATTTATATAATATTTCAACAAATTTTTTTATTTTAATGTTAGAGATTTTTTACAACTTTTTAAGTAAAAAAATATAATTATTTTAAATAAATATAAATAAATCTCAATAATTAAAAATAAAAAAATAAATAATTAAAATTTCATGTAAACATGATGTATATCCCTTCTATGTAAGTGGGTGCTTACCCTTTCTGCAGTCTAATATTTAGGTCAGGCCACTCATCCATTACAAATTTGGTTTTATGACTGTCGATGTGGCAGCAAGGGTTTGGGCTTGTACCTGAGGATCCAGGGTAGGAATGTAAAGGGCAAAGATAGCATTTGATTATTTCAAATATGGGGGTTGCCCTTCACAGCCCCAATTTGAGGTCATTTGTTTGACAAAGGTGACTGGCTAAGTTAGGCCTTTAGGACAATTAACTTCCATGGTCAGCGGAGAAGATGACAACCATAAGCAGGGGACAACATAAACGGTATATGAAGGCCCACAACATAAGTGCTTATCTTGTAGCCTAAAACTTCAAATGATAAGATAGACATTGGAAGATATCCATAGTTTTCATCATCTTATTTTTATGCCACATTAATCAACTCTAGGATTTTTCTCTCCTTTATACTTGTAGAGTTGTATCTCATTTACACCATTGATTTTAAGTCGGATGCTTTAAAGACAATAGATTGGTGATGTGATATCCTTTTTTTTTTTTTGACTCCAACTGTGTAGTTGATGAAACCAAGACAATTTCCAAAACAGGTTCATAGTTTTGGCAGAAAACAGGTAGGATTCTGATTTTTATCCCTATATGAATGACAATAACACTTTGATGTGTACCATTAACGTCCTAATTTTCCCCCCTCCACTAGTCAAATACAAGCAAATGATATTTCAATTTTTATCCCTTACTAATGAATGGTTTTATTTATGGGCAGACTTTGTTTTGTCAAACTCCAAGAATTGATGTAATTGGAATAAGTCTAAACATGAAGGCGTGATCCATGTATCCCAAATACTCTTATGCATCCGTCCTTCTCAATTAAAGGAGTGCTAGGAATACTCTTTAATTTAATAATATTTTTTAGACACGTTATTTATGATTAAATTATGAGACACGTAATATTTATATAATTAGTGATTATTTTTAATTTAAATATGTTAATTTTAACTTCTACTACTAATCATCAATTACATAAAATGTTATTTATCACTCTAATTATGGGGGAGAGAATAGTGTTAGCAGTCCTTAGACACAAAAAATAAAAAGGAACAAATTGAAAATCTTTTGGGGGACTTCTGAAATTTTTCGAAATGGCTGGGGCAGTTTTTTCTTTAATTGTTCCACACTGTATTAATAGTAGTATAAATTATAAAATAATTTTAATAATAATTTTTTAAAAGTATGATTTATCTACGCACAAGTTTTACATATTATATTTACATAAAATTTTAATTATTCATCTCTCAATTTTCAATTATTAAAATTTATTTATATTTATTAAAAATATTTTTTTTTTCACTTAAAAACTCCAAACATTAATCAGATTATGGTGAGATAATGCCACCTAATAAAAGCAAACATGGCCTTTAACTAAAATCACTCTCTATTAGTATTATTCAGATAATCGAATGAGCTATGATTGGATCGAATCATACATCCTTCTCTATGAAGATCAATCAAGTTTATAACTCTCATCTGCCAACTTTTAGGATTGTCTGTCCATTATATGGTTGCATGATGTAATTTGGTATTATACGTATATATATATATACCTGTTAATTGCATGCCAATCCTGTTATTGTGTCCCATTTTGGCCAAGAAATAGCTTAATTCACTAGGAGATTCTTAAGAAATGAAGGCAAGAAGAGGAAAATGATAACTGCAAAATATATACTCTGTAGTCAGTATGAAATATGAACATTATTCACAGAAATTCAGTTTCTTAGATGTGTTTCCACTACCTTCCTTAAAGTCTAAAACTGTTATCTTTACTTCTTACAAAATCTCAGAGATAACTTCTTCTATGGTTTGCTTTAACAAGTTACGTACAAAAGGGAGATAGGTCAGACACCTCATACCTTGTATTCACAACAAGTTTTCCTGCAATCCATATTTGACAACTGAACTCCAAAACATTAGCTCTTAATTTTCTCCTAAATTCTTCTGTCATGAAGAAGATGAACCATACAAAAAGAGAAACTGTGAAGTCCTTTCTAGGCTTTCTGTCTCTGAAGCTCAATTGAGAGGCACCAAGCTGAGGGTATAGGGAAGGACAGTAGGAAAATATGTAGAATTGTTACCCAGCTCAGATACAGCACAAACGTCCTTGGTCTTGTTCAGCTCAATGTCATACAAGAAGATTCTTAGAGAAACTCTCATCAATAAATACCCATCTTTGAAGGCCAAGGGATCCATCCAAGGGATATGATTAACTGCCTGCCATTGAGGTGCAATCGCCCTCAAGACAGAGAAGTATGAATATTCTTCTTGCATTTCGTCCAGAGACTTTGAAAGCTTTAAGGACCATTTGGATTCATAGTAATCCTCAAGAAGCCACACATGAACTCCATAGTCAGAGACCATCACGTAATGCAATCTGCTGTCACATTCTCCTATACATACTGCCGGGATACTATTGATCTCCATGACTGGAAGAGGAGTTGATACCAACCAAGACAGTTCACTCTCTACTTTGAATGTCAGAATTTCATCACCATCAGTTAGCCAGTGTAAAACCCCACCAATGAAAATGCCTTTGTTTTTGTACAGGTCATCATTACACTGGCAGACTTCTGTTGATTTCATCCAGGCCCTAGAATTCGATGAGTATACTTCAAACGAAAAGCAAGAAGAGAACAGACCAGTTTCAGATTTCTGCACTCTAACCAATTTGAAATTGGTTGAGGTGTCTGTCAGGTCTTGAGATGGATCAAAGGCAAGAGCAAAGCTGTGTTCTTTATCAGGTTCATCCCAAGCTAGCCTTATCCATTGATGGTTCAAGGGGTTGCAGATGTACAAGGATGGAACCTGAAAAGGGAGGCAACTGCGGCAGCAAACTAGACCATTGCATGATGTCAATAATGCAACTTCCTCAGGAAGGAAGTTAAATATAGTCTGCTTCAATTCATCACCTTCTGTTTCTACAGGAATGTAGCTTATGGTTTTGATGTCATCTTCACAATATTGGTACCTCTGTTGGACTAAGAAACCCGATACTGGCTCTCTCTTTTGGGACTGCATCTGAACCTTGACAAAAGTGCGGTCAGATATTAGGCGGTGCCATGCTTTGGAGACACACTTCATTCCAGGCAAACACTTTGTTGGCAGCCGAGACAGCACCTCAAAGGGGATATCACTGTTCAGGGAGTCAAAAGTGTCTAATTGTCTTCTTTTTGTTGAAGACTCAAAATGATCCATGTCCTGAAACAAAAATTCAACAAATTCCACAAGTTGAATCCAAAATCATTGAATATGAAAAAGATCATAATGGTAGAAAACTGAGACTGAACTCTGAGGACCTGAGGCAATAGGATTCAAAGACACTATTAGAACTGAAGCAATATTAGTCCATTGTACCGCTCAGAACATCATATCCTCTCTGAAACTCCAATAAGAACATCAATCAACATTCTATCAAATAAGTCAAAGTTCCCCAAATAACTATTTTTTTCATTAGACTCAATACTAAGCTTAAAAGTTTTCTGCTTTTCATCTTTTTCTCTGCTCTCTGCACTAGGCTATCACATTAACCTATTCATCCACTTCTATGTCTATCAATTTCACAAAAAATAAAAATAAAAAACCCAGAAAGCATTGCAGTGATAGATTCAACTAAAGTGTTCCAAGAACCAATGCCTATTCTGTTTCACATTTGTAATCCCTTTATTAAGCTAGCAAAGTAGGAATAAGCATTATGCATGAATCAACAACAAATTATTACAGTATTGTCAACCAATCTAGATCAAACCCATCAATAATGCTAAGCCATGAATAGAAACTCTTTCACAACAAACAGATAAGTAATTTCATCCAGACAATTATAGATTTATTGGAACCAGAATTTCTAGACGTGCCTTGAACAAGAAAACATCAAATCGGACAAAAAGAAATGAAGAATTCAAACGAAATCATAGGCAATGTGAATATTGAACACAAAAACAGAGTGAACGTCCAAGAACCCTGTAAGTGTAAAACAAATACCTTGTCTTGATTCACAACACCGTCAAGAAGATAAAGCGAATATAGTCAGAAGTTGTCTTCTTGTTCTAAGTAGAAAAAAGAGAAAGGAAAATCTCCATGGAATCATACTCATTAAAAGTAAAAAAAGAAAAGCAGTGACCTTTTCACCTCAAACCCAAACCCCAGTTTCATCCCACTAAGAAGATACCAAAATGAGGAGAAAAACACAACCCTCGACGCGTTCACTGGATTTTATCTCGAATTTCAAAAGGGTTTCTTGTGCCCCAAACAACAGAATCAAATAATCCTAATGAAATAGGAATAAAGTGCGTAAAAAAGAAGTAAAATAACAAAAACAAGAAAGAATATAACACAAAGAAGATCTAAATGTAAGAGACAGAACATTGGGGAAGAGAAACAACCATCAATCAACAACGAGAAAAATGCTCCTTAAAAACCAGAGATATAATACTCATCTCATTCTTACCCAGAACCAAAAACCTGGGAGAAAACAAAACCCAGGCTCCAAGCAAGAGTGGGATACCGAAGAAGTTCCAAAAGCATACGCCTTTGGCAGCTGCAGCGCCAGCACTAACAAAAAACTGCCATGGCAGGGTCAGAGGAGCAGCGGGGTTTTTCCTTGGGTGTAAATTCCAAACTCCAGGTGCGTTTGCATCAAGTAACCCATTTGGCTTTTTGATGACTTATCAGACGGCAGAGGGGCAAGGATCGTGCGGAGTGAAGGACACGTAGAGTACGGACATGTGTGATGTGCTGGCATTGATTGCCGTCGGTTGGGTGCACGCCGTTTTAGCTTCCTCCACAGGACCACAGCATTTTGGTTTGGAGGTTACGTACTTTTTGTACCGTCTGGAGCAATGGTGGAAAAGCAGAAGGACGACTGAGGGTTGACGATAATTAAACAATCTTGAGATCAAGCTTTTAATTAATTAATACAGCAACTTGAGCTCGACTTGTTTATTACAATAAAGTTTAATTATAAAGTGAAATTTAATTTCAATTCATCAAATTACTTTTTTTTCATTTATTTTTAGTAAATTTAATTTAATTTTATAATTTTTAAGATTTAAAGTTTAAATAAAAATTTAATAATTTATATGAATAAAAATTAAAATTTTTTATTCATGTATATATAATTCTCTGTTAAGTATTTTTACTTAATTAAAATTTTTAATTATTATTTATATAGATTATTAAATTTTTATTTAAAATTTATTTGTTAAAAATAAATGAAGGTAGTAAAAACTTTGTGATAAACATTTTAATTTGAAATTAATTTGCAGATCAAAATCACTATGGTACTGAACTTTCCCATTGAACTCATTCTAAATGAATAATTTAGAAAAATTCCATCTTCATTGTTATTAATTTTTTGGTATGTATAAATATGTCATTGTCATTAAGAATTGTTTAAGAGTCCACCTTTGGTCCTAATTGGTTTTTTTTTTTTCGTATTAACCTCTTGATATTCAGTAACCATATTGGGTCTCGATTAATCTGGATCAAGTTACATCGAACCTTATTAAGGAAAAACTCTTTTAACGTCTGTTTTTTCATTTATAAGACTCAAATTTAAGATCTTATTTAAGGAGAACCGAATTCCTTCTATTCAGACCAACAAATCATTAGTTTTGATCCTAATTGGTTATTCTGATGTTACTTGCTCATTCTATTATATCATCTCTCCAACTAAAAACATTAGTAATATATGAAAATGATCATTCTAAATTCTACAATAATATAATTATGATGCTATTTAGAATCATAACATATCATTTAATTAAGAAATTAATA